ACTACTCCCCCTGTTGGCTGCACATGCTTAGAGAAACGGGAAAATTTAATAACGGGGATGGGGGCTTCTCCACACAATGCCACCTTAAAAATCTAGATGCAGGGATGTCTGGGTGGCTCAGTCGATTGAGCATCTGCCTTCAGCTAGGGTCATGATCCCAGAGTCCTGAGATCGAATCCTGCATCAGGCTCTCTGCTCAGCGGGGAGCCTGCTTCTCCCTCTCCCTCTGCCTGCCCCTCCCCCTGTTCGCACATGCTCTCACTCTGGGATGGATAGATAGATAGATAGATAGATAGATAGATAAATAAATAAATAAATAAATAAATAAAATAAATAAATCTAGCTGCAAACCCACTTGAACGATGCATATCTGACCGTCTTCAGGTGAAAAGCCAATGTTAGGAGCAACGTCGCCATTCCTGAGAAGAAATAGGGCCAATTCTCACACGGGGAGGGAGAGAATCTAGCTGAAGACACAAAAGCCTTGTTCCTCTCACTTCCAGACAGAGGTCTCTCCTTCATAACGTGATTCATTTGCTCTCACTGGATTCCAGCATTTTTGCCCTAAAAAGATGACTTATGCAAAGAAAACTCCAGATGGGGCGCCTGGGTAGCTCAGTCGTTAAGCGTCTGCCTTCTGCTCAGGTAGTGATCCCAGAGTCCTGGGACGGAGCCCGGGCTCCCTGCTCGGCGGGAAGCCTGCTTCTCCCTCCCACTCCCCCTGCTTGTGTTCCCTCTCTCGCTGTGTCTCTGTCAAATAAATAAATAAATAAAATTAAAAAAAAAAAAAGAAAGAAAACTCCAGATATCCAATGCCCATTATGTGGAACAACCAAGACCACAAGGAAATGTGCTCTTTGCCTCTTGTCATGATCTCCACCCAAGTACACACCTTACACTGCAACAGCACCGCTGTATGGAAAGTTCATTTTACACACTTCCATGATTGTCATCACCCCCGGCCTCCACTGAGTCTCGCCAAGAAGCCCAATTCGTGTTTTTGCCTGTTAGCCCAGACACCCCAGGGTACAGCCACATGTCGCAACAGTCAAAGACAGCCCCTTCGCCTTTCACCATTTTCTCAACTGAACAGGTCCTCTTACGACTCTGGATCGTCACCCATCTCTACAGTGTTCTTAACCTGAAGTCCATGGATGAGGTGCAGAAGATTCAAGAACCTGGTAAGGTAATTACAAAATGCAGGGTAATTCAGTGTTTTTCTCAGGAGAGGATTTATACCTTCCACCAGATTCTCAAAGGGGTTCGAGACTCCCCAAAAGGCTTAAGAACCGCTACTGCAAAGCTGTATGCTGAAAAACAACGAGTCAGGTAAGTTTCCTGGATCTTCATTCACTTAAGTGATTTTGATTTGCCTTTTGAACCAAATTTTGCAAGCTGTGTTGACATTCTTCCATCACCCACTTTCATAGTCGCGCCCAAGGTATAAATCCTGAAACCACCTTTGCGACTTCAAAACTCAAACACGGGGAAAACATCAAAACGCCAAGGATACTTTTAACAACAGGAAAAAAAAAAACATGGAAACACTAACGATACTTTTAAGCAAAACATTTCACCCAACAAGTGCTTTCCTTTTTCTTTTCCCCTGCAATCCCTCCTCGGGGTCACGATCACTCTCCCCTCGGTAGCAGGTTCAAGTTCGACCTCCCTGGGGCTTCCCACACTTGAAACCAGTGCTGGAAAAGAGCCCCAAGGCAGGAAAAGCACCCAATGCCGCTCCGCCGGGCCGGGAAAGGAGTCTACCAGATTCCACCCTAACCGTGAATTTGGGGGGAGCCTGGAGCATCAGGTGCTGTGAACAAGAACTCGTCCCTCCCGCTTCCCTGCGGCAGAGGCACTGGGACCCCGTTCCAGGTGAAGGCCCAGGATGGTTCCTCCGCAGACGGAATGAAAGGTAACCCCGGAGGCTCAGCTCCAGGCCGCGGCGCGCCGAAAACAAACTTTCCGAGCACTTCCACCGCGACAAGCCAGTGACACCTCCCCAGCCTCCCCCGCCCTCCGCGCGTCTGTCAGCGCCCCCACCGGGCAGGCGCCCGCCGCGCCGGGGCCCGGGCTCCCCGCGGCGGCCGAGAGGCGCCCTCACGAAGCCCGCGGTCCCCGGCCCGGCCGCCCGGCCGCAGGTGAGGCGCCGCCCGGCCCTGGGG